TATATACCCACCTGAGAGTTAGTGACACACTTGGTATATATACCCACCTGAGAGGAAACCACATCATCCCCAGAATCATTTTCGCTGTCGTAGGTACTCAAGATGCTAACACCGTCCACTGACGACGAACCTGGTAACGTTTACAAATGAAGTGGAAGTTAACTGAATGATTCTGGAATGTCACTATTTAGAATACTAAACTGCATTTCATTCACACTTTCGACATTAATCTTTGTTTTATTTTTCTTAAAGCAGACTGGTTTAATTGAATTGTAAGATAATTTAGTTTTTATTTGTTTGTTTTTAGATCAAAGCCACATTGGGCTATTCTGTTGTGTTCACCGCGGGGAATCGAATCCCGGAATTTAGCGTTGTAAGCCCGTAAACTTGCCGCTGTCCCATCGGGAGGCAGTTTATGTTCATGGAGTAAAACATTTGTGGTACAGTTAGCTGCCAACAGGTTGGAGATTAAATTATGATAAACTTCAAGATTTTTCAATATTAATGTTTACGGTTGAAACTTCAAACGTATTTAAAGCAAAGATAACCTTTTGTACACGTGATAAGTTATGTTTCTTGTTCATTATATTTTCTGCTGTTTCACATAATTCATTATTTTAACTACAGACGGAACATGTATTGTTCTACTTACTAGAGCTGCTAGTAAATGATGAGGAACTGAGAAGCTGTGATCGAATTTTTTCGTTTTCCGTCGCTAGGATAGCTCCATCAGATATTCTGCTATCCTTGCTGCTTTGTTGACCCTTGAAAGATAATGGAAATTGAAGTAAGTCAATACCAGAGTATACTTATTCTTTGGTGAATAACAAAACATTACTAATTTTACTATAATAATTCAGTCATCCAATGAATAATGAATGCATTTTTATGATATTTTTTTCACTCTCTATAGCAAGTCTGTGTTAATAGCAAATTAAAAAGTTACATGTGTGTCGCAGAACCATAAATGTTTAACATTCTTGCCGGTAGATGACACAGTGTTGAATGTAGAACTTGTATACGGAAACACATTTAAGCTAACAACAGTAGTATATTGACCAACAACGAGATTTATGAGCACAATGAAAATTTTATATAGAGAAGTAAACAGGCAAACGTGTTTTATAAACATGTAGTAAGTTCTCTATATAAAATTTCCATTATGCTTGTATTGTTCGGCAACTTAATATTCGTCGTAGTCTCGATTGTTATTTAAGAATGCATCAGTTATTGAAATGAATCCTAATCACAGACGTACTGTTACTTATAAAACAAGTAATAATAAATATGTAGCAGAATGGCTGCTAATTTTGCTTTTCAACAAAAATTAACTTATATGTATTTTTTGTTCCTGTCATAGAAGGTGAAATCCAAATATTTTATGTTGTTTTATACACACATTTTAAAATATTGTGCTCTTTACGTAATTATTATAAAAATTATATCACAAATCCAATCTACATATTTATTTTTTTATTACAATGTATCGAAAATGTGACTACCAATTCATTACCTGAGCTAAAATAATTTGCCTTCGACCAAGTTTTGAAGTAAAAGTGTTCTGAAGCTCACAAAAGGTCTTTGATTCCTTTCTGCTGCACCCTTGCTTCTCAGATTTTTTGTAAATCTCGCGAAGCTTTTTCAGTATCTCCTGTATTTTCATCAGAAAAATATTTCTTCATGTATATATAACGTAGTCCTGACTACTATTTTAATTAGTTAAGTTTCAAGATTAGAGTAGTAAAAACCTTAAAAGAAAAATCCAATACATATAAATAATAAGTATAAAAGCAAAGAATTGAAACTGTTTACACTTGTATAAAACCAGTATATTTTGCTAGGTATAATTTTAGGAAATATACTTGCTAGAAGTATAATTAATCCATTGCTTACCATAAGGGCCTACTTGGTATGCCAGCGATTTTATTCCAATAAGGGATCATAAGAGCCTGGTTGGTATGACAGCTATTTTTATTTCAATAAGGGACCATGAGAGCCTAGTTGGTATGACAGCTATTTTTATTCCAATGAGGGACCATAATGGTCCTATTTTGTATGACAGCCGTTTTTATTACAATAAGGGACCATATGGGTGTACTTTGATAACGGATTTCATACTAATTCCAATAATATATAGTTTGTAGGTTATTTCTTAATTAAAATATACATTAAATCAATCAAATATAAATATTTAACATTTCACCAAGTTTTCCTTTTTTTATAATTCTTGAGAACACGAAATGCCTGATTACGAAAGGGTTAACTTACCTGACCCTTTCTTTCGTGTGGAGAATTACGAAATCCACAGTTAGTTCCTTTCTATATAACATAAAATTTAACAATCTGACATATCTTATTTACAACAGTTAATTTTGTTTTGCTATGAATGATAACAGTCTGAGAAGTATGTTTTCTTGATAAGGAATATCACACCAATTCCAGCATTTCGTTTCTCTGTTGTGTGGAGCATAAAACTGTAACCTTTTGTTTCCATGTAATGGATTATAACAGTAACAAGGCAAGCATTTCGTTTTTCTCTAGGGAGTATCACAACAACTCAAGCATTTCGTTTCCCTGTTATCGAGTATACCAATAACGTCAATAATGAGTTTTGGATTACAACAACCTGAGTAATTAGTTTTGGATTACAACCTAAGTAATTAGTTTTGGATTACAACAACCCAAGTAATTTAGATCATAAAAAGCTGTTAAATAATAGTTTTAAAGACAGGTCTGTCGTATTTAATGATAAGTTTAGGGGCTATTATTTTAATACTTGTAGTATAAAGAACGAGATAGTTGAGTTCAAACTTCAACTTGAAATGGAAACTTATGATGTAGTGGGAATTATTAAAAAGTGGTCATATTTAAAGAATAATGATAATAGAAGTTATTTTAAAACTCCAGGTTATAAGTTATTTGTTAATGATAGACCTTGTTAAAAGAGGGGTTAGATTTGACTCCTTATATAAGGGATGAACTACATCTTGTTGGAAATGAAGACATTAAAAGTGATAGTCAAGAGGTTGAATCTATTTGGGTTTGGAGGGTAGAATGATATTAATTGCCAGTATAACATGTTATAGGCCACCCGCTCAAACAGATCATCTCAATGAGAAATTGTATAATGAGGTTAGACTTGTTAGTAATAAGAATACCGATGCAACAATTATGGCAGACTTTAATTTTAGATCTACTGATTGGGATTGTATGAAATCAAGTAAAGAAAAAGGTTTCTTGGTGTGATACAGAATGGTTTTAAATGTCAATTTTTCAGAGAACCAGCCAGATGAAATGCCATTTTAGACTTACTGTTAACCACTAATGAGGATGTTGCTGCAAGAGGTGAATAAAGAGAACATTTACGGAAGAAGATCATGGCATAATTAGATTTGATGTGTTTCTACATATTGAGATAAAAAAAAAGAAATTTTAGTTCCTAATTTTCAAAAAGTCAACTTTGAGACCACGAGACAATATTTATCATTACATTAGAAAGTTGAGATAATAAGGTTAAAGATGATGTAGGAGAGATCTGAAATATTTTTTTCTAAGTATAACTGTTTTTATCTCAAGGTCAGAATGATCCTAAGATTGGAAAAGAATAACAGAGAAGTTCAAACATAAAGATATAAAGGATAAAATTAGGGATAAATACCATAAATATAAGAGGTTTTTTAAATGGATAGATAGATGGAATGCTTACAGAACTATAGAAAGGCTATGGACTTGGTCAAAACAGATGTTAGGAAATCCAAAAGGGCTTATATGAAACATCTTTCTGATAATGTTAAAAGTAACTGTAAGGATTTTTAATGTACGTTAAAAGTAAACAAAATCTTAAAATAGGGATTGGGCCCTTAAAGGATGCTGATGGCAAACTTTTTAATGAAGACTGTGAGATGACTTAGCTTTTAAATATTTTCTTCCCTTCTATTTTCAGAAGAGATGTTAACAATAGTCTTGACCCTGAGCATTCTATGGTAAATACTGGGACTGATTTGAATTATGTAGATATTAATACCCTGGTTGTAAAATGAAAGACTGGGAGATTAAAAATAGATATAACAGCAGGGTCACACAATGTTTTTCCAAGGCTTTAAAGAAGATCAAGGATCAGATATACAAGCCTGTGTTTTCATTTTTGGTTGGTAAATAGACATTGAACAAGTGTCCGAGATTTGTAGAATGGCTAATGTTATTACTATTTTTAAGAGACTTGATAAGAATTGCCTTAGAAATTTAAGACTAGTTAGTCTTACTTCTGTAGTGGGAAAACTCTGTAGACTTTGATAAAAGAAACTTTAAAAATCATCTATTAAGATATGATATTATAAAGGATAATTGACATGCATTCCCAAAACCGAATTATTCCATTACTAATCTGTTAACCTTTTCTTTCAAAGATGTTACGTTTTATGTGGATGTTGGAAAATATGCGAGTTGCTGTACTTATATTTTCATAAAGATTTTGACAAGATGCCACACAAAAGATTAGTTAAGAAAATGACATTGTTTGGTTGACAGAAAGCAAAACATTGTTTTTAATGAGGTCCACTCAAACTGGACCATTGTGACTAGTGAAGTATCTCAGGAGTTAGCACTTGGGCCTTTTTTTTTACTTACATTAGTCATATTGATTAGGGCATAATTAAAAAATAATATAGTTTGCAGATGGCATTACACTCTCTAGTTGTACCAAAAAATTAATATACTACATAATAAATTGGATCAATTGGTTAGCTGGACAAACATCTGGCAAATGACCTTTAATTATAGTAAATGCAAGACAATGCATTTTTGTTTTCATAATCTGTATTACACGTTTAATATGGATGGGAATCCATTCAATAATTTAACTGAAGAAAAGAGATCTTAGCACATTCGTGGATAAGCCATCGAGACAGTGTGCTATGTTGTTTGTAGTAAAGTTAATAGAAACTTAGGATGTATTTATAGAAACTTTGATTACAAATCAAAAGAGAAAATGATCTCTATATACTGTCTACAGTTTTAGTTCTCTTAATTTACTAAGAAAGGATATTGAGTCACCAGAAAGGTTTCAAAAGAGGGCTATAGTAGGAGGATTCAGGGGATTAAAGGGTTATCTAATGGAGATAGTTTAAGATCTCTTAACTTCTTTTCTCTTAAGAGAAAAAGGGTAACAGGTGATCCCATTGAGGTTTCAATGTTATACGAGGGAATCGCTTGGATAAAGGCCTTTGATTTCTTTGTGCTATATTATAAAGACCAGAAGACAAGTTTAAGATTTGGAAAAGTCAGGCCAGCTTTCATTTAAGACAACTTTATTTTTCTAACAAGGTGCTTGTTATACGAAGTGAATCGCTATAGTTAGTAGTGGAGGCCTACATTTTACAACAGTTCAAAATGCACATCGATAATTTCATGAAAAATAGGGGAGGATTATGTGTTTATTTTTTCTTAAAATTGACGATACAGAGACAGCCTTGAACGAATAAATGGTCCTTTGTTGTTCGTATATCATATTTATAAAGTACAATAACATAAAAACCTAGGGAGATACCTTACGAAGTATAACAACCTAATCAGTTAGTTCGTGAAGTACAGTAGCCTAAGTAGTTAATAAAGTCCAACAGGCCTAAACTGTTATTTCGTTAAGCTTAACAACCTGAACAGTTAATAAAGTACGAAACATTAAGCAGTTCGCGAAATTTAATAATTCCAATTGTTAGTTTAGATATATAAATATAATGAGCAAAATAAATAAACGATGTGAAGCAATGGTTTAAAGACTGGTACATAAACTCACTATGGATTTTTTAGACGGCACAATGTGACACATTTGCCACTCACGAAACATCTGCTCCACTTCTGAAAATTTTGCTCCTCTTTTGTAACTCTCCAAAATGTCCAAGAGTTCAGAGTGTCCGGTGCTTGGAACAATTACCCCATGCTGATTAGACATTTCATCTGAAATTAAAACAAACAATAAATTATTACTGTATTGTGAAACAAGTTAAATATGATGACATTTGCTCAGGAAGTAAATTAACATTATCGAGATAAATTACCTTTATTCGATAGTTTAGAGTCGCTGTTCATGACAAATGTAGGGATCGTTATTGTCATGATATAAAACAATGTTTAGTGTAGATATTATTGATTAATTTATTTTATGAGTGAATATTTCATGATTGTTTAGTTTTGATCATAGCAAGAGAGTTAGAAGCAATTATTTTAAAGTAAATATTATGACAAGTTCAGTTACATAAATTGGTAAGAGTCGTACATTGTATTTATAACTCATTTATGTCGAGATTATGAAATGTCGCGTGAAATGTATTGATGCCGAGGATATATCGAGCGGACGATTAAGGAATAAACATATAAATAGTGTGAGATGAGCTGGAAAAGTAGACAGTCAAACAAAGGCATAGTAGACGAGAAGGAATTCGGCCAAAGAAAAGTTAAACGCAAAGTTAATCATCGTAGAAGCGGAAGGCCTAACGGTTGATATATTAGAGTGAGACTAACGGAATTGAAAGAGGTAAAAAGAACAGTTTATTTCGTCAAAGAGAGTTATGAAGTCATTGAACTAGCCTCGGTGGACTTTGAAAAATATACAGACGGTTCTCTGAAGCGCTAGGTCTTATACCTAACTTCAAGTGTATCCAAGAAAAATATAAATTTTTTTCTACTGTTTTCTTTTGTCATGACCACAAACATTAGTCTTACAGAAGTCTTACTGAGGCACTTTTCTTATGTCCGTTGAAAAATGTATCATGTCAACTGTTGAAATGACAAAAAATATATACTAATTACCAAACCTTATTATATGTTAAAGATGACCTCGAAACAGATTTTAGTAAATTCAACAATGACGTACCTGTGATCGAAGGTTCTAAAGGTGGACTACTAAGTTTTGGTTCCCTGTCTTCCGCAATTTCATCAGGTCTTTCTTTTCCATTCTCTAAAATAACCTTATCTTGTGGCACCAACTTCTCTGATTTAAAAAAGAAGAAAGGAGAACTCGTCTCTAAATATTGATTTTTTAGACGAATATTTTATCAAATTCATTTACTTCTAAATTCAAAATGATTTATACCGTATTTTTCATAACGCCATTGATACTCAAAATTATTGATCCTCTGATAATTTTCCTATTCATTCAATAGTGTACAATTATTTTAAAAAAACGTCTAATTATGACAAACCAATCTCCACCGATAACAAGCTCCTTCGTTGAATGAATTAGCATTATCTTTTTTAAGTTGTTATATATATATATATATATCTTTGTTGAAGCTTGCAAAAGCCTGTAAACATGCAATTGTGTAGGTACAGTGATTGCTTAAATGCCAAGTTTCATGTTTGCAGGAGCTCGTTATTTAACTTTTAAGCTTTTTGTGGTCTTTATAACTCTTTGCATAAAGTTCCGCATATCTCTCAAATATGTTCGTATGTAAAATAATTTTTGTTTACGAAAAGTATGCTTTTTTACGTATTTCTAAGCTGTGCCATTTTTTACTGTCTTTGTCATTTACTTCTTTAGTGTTTTTTAAAAGTATGTAAGTGCTCTAAGTTCTACAAAGGCAGGTCAAATCAACCTCTGATTAGAAAAAATAATTATTTGTTTGATGTTACAATGTCTCCTTGTAAATAAAGTTCAAATTTTTGTTATTAGTGTTACGAATTTCTAAATATCCCAGTTTGTATTTGTACTTTCCAATCACATTCCACTTTTAGAAAATATACTTTTCTTATATTTTTCATCTTTGACACATCCTGATATATGAAAAACGTTTCTTCTATGATTCTTTGTGTTTTATCAGAAACTAGCAGCGTTATCCAGGGTTCCCTGGGTTTTTGAAAACAACAACAACAATCCTACTTTTTCTGTTACCCCATTCCATATTTCTATAGGTAAAAAATATTTGGTGTATTTATGAAAAAAAAAACCTTAAGTTTGATTTATGAAACTAAATGACGAGCCTATAAGGGCTATCTTATGAACGATGTTTTTTGTTTTTCCTTCACTGGCAAGGATAAATATGCCCTTATGAAGAATATATATCTTATACATCTGTGGGTACCCTTTCTGGAAAACAGGATAAGCCTAGCTCTATTCCCCTATCCCCCGTCATCCCTCCTCAAATATTAAAATTTCAAACATAAATATGTATGTAATATTATGTTAAATTTGCTTTAATGTAAATTTAATATATTTTTATGAATGTGATACTGTATTTACATTATGACATTGATGTATGAAATATACTACAAACAAAATGCAATATTGTACTTTATAATATGTCGAAAGAAAAGAAATCCACTTTCAGGTATTGAACAACTGGGAGAGAAAAAGTAGAATAAAATACATTCGCTGACTTACTTTAATCTTATTTTACCCAATAAGTATTATAATATAAGCCTTACTATTTTCACATAGTCTATTTTTTTGTAGACAGCATAATTTTATTTTATAGGCTAGGCTTACTGTTTGCTTTTTCACACACAACATTTTAATTCTGCACACATTTATTTTGTGTGTGAGGTTAAATATATGACATATTAGTAGATATATAATTAATATTTATAATCTATAACTAAATAGGCCTGCCTATTCTAATGGTAATAAAAATATATACAATTTCCAGGTTCAACCCATCTTCCACCTCATTCAAGCGCTCTACCAGTTATTCTGAGCTGATTTTAATCTCATTCATTGTGCACAATGAGTATTATAATTTAAGCCTTACTCTTCTCACATAGTCTATATTGTGGTAGACGGCATAATTTTATTTTATAGGCTAGGCCTACTGTTTGCTTTTGTGTGTGTGTGTGTGTGTGTATGGTTAAATATATGATGCATTAGTAGATGTATAGTTAATGATCTAGAACTAAATAGGCCTATAATGCTATATACTAAATTAAATGTTAACTCAAACTTACCAAAAAATGTCAAGTCGGCATACAATTTAATCGTGTAATGTATACGTTAACGATAAAATTACCGGTTCTGTGAGAAGACGATAGACGCGTATATAAAAAAAAATTGTCGTTTTGCGCACCTTCACATGAGTGGAGTGACATGCGCAGTGAAAGCGGCGGACAAACAAGCAAGCAAATAAACATAGACTTTTCTCTTATATATATAGATGTGTTTGTTGCTTAGTTCAAACCTAAATCAAGCTTTATCATTTTAGGTAAAATTGAGTCATTAAAGTTACTTTAATATGGCGTCTCCTTATGGTCAAACCTTATAGGTTTGCCTTAGTTATTTTTTCCCTTCTCAAATAAACAGGCTATTTAAATTATGTATATACGCATACATCTGCATATTTTATACAGAAAGAAGGCTTCTAATCAACAAATAAACAAATACAAATGTACATTGCTGGTCGTTTTCCAGAGTTATATTCTACAACAGTTACTAAATTGGTTCTGTATAAACTTTATTCAATTTAAAAATGTCACGCAAGTTAGTATGTACTTAAATCCAAATTCTTAAAAAGGTTTTAATAATGCTAGTATCAACCTATTCTGCTGGTATCTTAGTTAAATGGAAATAATTCGAAGAATTAGTTTTATCAAGAACGCTGTGTTCATAATATCTTTAAAAATCCATTCAAAGTTACAACTCACTTTATCAAGCTTGCAAAACTTTGATTTTTGTATTAAAGTAACAAAAGTAACTCAATCTCAGTTTTTCTTAAGATTACTGAAGTTTAATGGTATTAGGAGCAAATTGTTACTAATTTAATCATTTAGCACTAAAATTCGGGTTTCGATACCCACAATGGGCAGAACATTGATAGCCCATTGTGTAGCTTTCACTTAATAATATCCAAACAAATAATATAATCATTTTTATTTCTTTTTCTTTGAAGTAATATTCCTTTTAAAATATAAAACTATTAAATCTTGTACAATGGGTTTGATCAGAAAAGTTTTATTGCGTATATTTAAATTAGTTGATCATAATGAATCAATTATTTAACTGAAATTATTACTTTGCAATTCCTTAAATGTGTTATGCTACATTTATATATAATCACTTCCTTTACTTCACTCAGTAAAGCCAATATTTACAAGTTACATCTTACCTGAATATTGAGATTTATAGTCAGCTTCCATTTCCAGGTAATGAGATTCTATGTGCCCACGTCTTTTAACCATTTCAGACTTTGTAATGGACACATCATTTAAGTTGCCGAAAATTGAAGGAATTGGTACAGGAAAGGGAACATCGTAAATATGAGAATCCATGTTTTCATCGTTCTCTAAAAAATGTACAAAATATAAATACGTAATTCCAGTTTATAAGAAGGAAGTTTTCGTCCGTTATAAACAGCCTTATGTAATTATACTTATATTCAATTTAGATAGACAAATGTATCCAAGGGCACATTTTTAAGCATATATAACTAGCATTGTATTAACAGTATGTAATGGATGACGATGAATAAGAGTAGTGCCATTTTTAAAAATATGGGGGAAAATTAATAGTAACACGTATTAAAACAAGGGCGTAACTTTGTTGTAGGAAATGAGGGGATGATAATGTACATGTATGTGGGGGAGGAGTAAATTAAAAGTATGAAGACAGAGTAGTAATAGATTCATTATTAGACTTACTGGTCCATTCACCATTTTGCAGCAATAAAATTTTTTTGGGGGGGGATATTATTGGTCATCCCACACTCGACGGAAACTGGGGGATAGATGCCCATCCTCCCCGGGATTTACACCCCGATTGAAAACATGCGATTTAAGTTTTGATTATGGCAAAAGTTATCTTTATTGACTGTTGTTTATAGTTTTGACGAAAGTTCGTTTCATATGTGTACTTTCAGTTTGATAAAATGCAGCCAATACTAATGCTATAGTGTTAAATAACGTAAAGCGAAATTTCTTTATTTTGAACTTTACTTACGATCACATCTATAATATTTGAATAAATACATCCTAAAATTCCCCCCAGTGACACAGCGGTATGTCTTCGGACGTTAGAAACCGGGTTTCGATACCCATGGTGGGCAGAGCCCAGAAATCCCATTGTGTAGCTTTGTGCTAAATTAAAAACAATTAAACATCCCAAAATTATTTTCATATGTTGTTTATGTTTACGTACCGTATAATAGCTTTGCCAAGTGGTTTGGTCGCGGGCTCGAATTCCCGTCCCACCTGTAACGAATTTGTTGTTATGTATTTATTTTAATATGAACGTTGTTTAGATAAAGTTTATATTTTAAAACATGCGTAGCCCGTAAGTGTTAAATATGTATTGCGAAACTCCCGCCTATTCTTCAAAGTTGTAGAAGATTCTCGACAGTAAGAATCAACAATATATGTATATACGTAAACGTTTAAATGTAGCTCAGTAATGTTTGTTACGTAAGACGGAATTTTCTAGAAAACCTTCCCACGGCTATAAATATAACCGATGTCACGCGCCAAGGAGAGTGTCTATTAGTAGTTCACTATAGTCAGTGTGCTATAAAGTTCGAAAGCTATGACTGTGATTTTTATAACGCTTATCAATCGGAAAGTTTAAAATATTAGACCAGGAGCATTTACAAAATGCGAACATTACAGCTCATTTAACTTCAGTGGATTCTCATCGAACATTAGTATTTTTACGAAAACATTATATAAATTCATCGTGGAAAACAGCGTGTGTGGCCACGGACAAAGCTAGCTAGCTTCCCAGCAAATCGTGTCTACATCAACTCGTAATTATCTCGCTCATCGTAAGCCCTCGATAAGATATCAAGGAAGTTCGGGACTAGAAAGAAGACTTTACATTGTTTGTAAGTTTGCGAAACTTTTGTTTATAAATCTTTGTTTGTAATAACTATTTGTAATAATTGTTATTGTAAATTGTACTGTTATGTATATATATTAAATCGTACGTGTTAAAAACGAAAACGGTGTGTATCAATCTTGTTGGCAAATATATTTAAATACCAAATCCAAAGTACAATTTAACTACTACATTTAAATTATCAGTTAACTCGGCTTCGGACTAATTCGAAATTCTAATACGTAACACACCAAACATACCCGCCTTTTCAGCCGTGGGGGGTGTTATAATGTGACGGCCAATCCCACTGTTTCGTTGGGTAAAAATTAGTACGTAGGGACAAGTTTTGGAGGG